CAGGTTGAGAACCGCTGCTGTAGAGCCAGGCGGGCCTGCCAGGCTCTCCCCATAGAAGGCCTTCGGCAAGCCACTCCACATCTCTGGTCTCAGACGCTTCACGTCTAAAACAGGGGTTACCCCCTGCCCTTCTTGACTCTTATGAGCACACTCAGCAACAGTGATCAGTGCAAAACGGCAATCAGTACAAGCCTTGGGGGGCGTCCTAAATGCCCTACGTAGATCAACGTATTTAGTCTTCCCAAGAGCCCTAGGAGGTACGTGCATTCTTACCCCCGTGTTTGCTGGGAAGATGGGGCTCGACCTCGACTCAGAAGAGTCTTCTCACTGGGCCAGCCTCAAGCAGCGCGTTCCCCAGACACACTTCCCTGACTTCCTGTGGGCACAGACTGAGGGCCAAGGCTCTGGCTGAGCCTTTGACTCCAGGAAGACCCAGTCACCCATGATGCCCAATGCTCACTTCCACCCAGGGTGGGCTCGGGGTTCTGGCTGCCCTGGCCTGGGCTGGGTGCCCAGAACAGGCAGCCCTGGCTGGATGGCTTTCCCTGGCCCTGACCATGGGGACAGGAGGCGGCAATAGCCCAGCTGGGCCTTGGCCGTAATGAGGCCTCATTAGCGGAATCCAGCTGCTCCAGCCCCACTTAGGGAGGCCGACTCCCCCAGCCCTTGCTTCTGACTTTGCTTAATAGGAGTCGGCATGCTTCCAGAGGGGCAAGGAGTCTAGGGGCTCTGTTGCCCCGAGTCACTGGAGGGAAGGTGGTGCTGAGTTAGGGCTGCAAAGGGCTGGGGACAGGGAGAGGCGAGGGTGAACTCAAGGAGGGTGGGCGGAGAGAAGGGCAGGGTCCTAGAGGAACACTGGGCCTTCCCTCTACATCTAGACCAGGGGGTCCTCAAACTTTTTAAACAGGGGGCCAGTTCACTGTCCCTCAGACCCATTGGTGGGCCAGACTATAGTTTAAAAAAAAAAACTATGAACAAATTCCTATGCACACTGCACAGATCTTATTTTGAAGTAAAAAAGCAAATAGGGCAAAAACACCCGGCCGGCCGGATAAATGTTCTCACCGGGCCGCATGTGGCCCGTGGGCCATAGTTTGAGGACACCTGATCTAGACATTGCCACTCTCTGGCAGGGGTGAGGGTGGGGCCAGGGCATGGACAGCAAGATCAGCCCAGGCTCACCACTCAGGCCACCCTTCTTCTCTGTGGCAAGTCCTACATTGGGAGAGTGCCCACTGTGTGTTAGGCCTTGAATGAGTGGAGGGCCCACTGTGTGTCAAACCCCTGCTAGGGAAGCACCACTAGGTGTCAAGGCGATACTAGGAGAATTCCTACTGTGTGCCAGGTCTGGGCCAAGAGAGTTCCCACTGGGTATCAGTCCTGTGCTAGGAGAACACCCACTGTGTGCCAGGACCTAGGGCAGGCTCAGGCCTGGGTTGAGAAAGTGCCTACTCTGTGCCACACCCAAAGTTGGGAGAACAGTGTGTGTTGAGCCCATGCCTATGAGCGCCTGTGCGGTTTGGGTTCTGCACTGGGCACCTGTCTCATGTGTGTGAGATTCTGTACTGGGTGAGAAAGAACCCAATGGGTGCCCAGGCTCAAGCAGGATGGGCGCCCACTGTGTGTCTAGCACATGCTTGAGGAGTGACTACTGGGTGATAGACAAGCTCCCTACTGAGGGAGTGTCCAACATGGGCCTTGTCCATACTAGTTGGGCATTTGCTACATGCCAGGACTAGTGCTAGGAGACGCCCAGTGGGTGATGGGTCCTCTACCAAGGGAATACCCCTGTGCGCGCTCAGCCCTGAGCTTGGTGAGCCCCTAACATGTGCAGAGCCTGCTCCAGCACTTAGCACCCACTGTGCGCCATGCCTTTAGATGGACACTGCAGACAGGAGGTGCCCAAGCCCTCTCATGAAAGCACAACATGCGAGGGGTGAGGGGGTGAGGGGCAGCCTGTGGTGGATTCAGATGTGGGGGCACCCAGAACCCAAGTCTGGGTGACTGCGCTTTCCTTCAACATAAGGCAGAAGCATCGATCGACCAGGGGCAGAAGCAAAAGGTGTATCAGAGACGTGGCCAAGGGGTTCACCTTGCCTGGCCAAGACCTGGTCTGGATGGCATAGGGGAGGGGACTGAGTCTAGCCCGTGAACTTTCAACTTGGTGTAAGACCATGGGGTTCAAGTAGAGTCAGTAGGGGCTCTCATGCCTCCTGGCCAGGGTTCCTCTGTTCAGGTGCCCCTGCTCTCTGAGATCCTGGCATTCCTACCCCCCCCCCCCCCCACATGTACAGAACCACTAAGTCTCTAAGGAAGAGCCATGCCACCCCACCCCTGTGGCCCCCAAGCAGCCCAGCTGCTCCCAGAAGCTCGGAGGCACCCTGGCCAGCTGGGTTCTCGGATGACCCTGTCCTAGGAGTTGCTGAAGCGTGAGGGAGCCAGTAGAGCTGGCCTGGCAGAGACCATCTGGGCTGGGAATGGGGGCGGGAGCACGTGCAGTCAGCATGTGGGCCTGTGCACGTGCTGGGAAGTGACTTGCTTCTCCACGGGGCACCTGTTCCAGAGCCCAGCAGACACTCCCAGGATGATCCAGGGTGTCTGTCAACAGCGAAGACCCAAGAGGCCCATGTTCTCACACCCGAGCCTGGGGCAGGATGGAAGGGAGGAACCCGCGGTGAGGGGCCAGTTGCCTCCTCTGGACACACTGGACGTGCACAGGGCAACTGAGAGATGCAGAGACCAGGAGAAGGCCAGGTACCATTGGGAGTCCAGACGTGACCCTCTAGGACCTTCTCTTCGGACAGCCCACAAAACAGGCCGCCCGGGAGGAGTCTCCCCGGCCACTCCCGTCTCCGAAAACACTGCCATTCCATCAAGGGTCAATACTGCTGCCCAGGGAGCTTGGCAGGGGCCATGCACAGCACCACACAGGCTGCATCCAGAGACCAACCCCGAAGGGAATCGGCTTCGGCTTCACACTGGAGCCGGAGAAGAGAGTAGCCCAAGGTCATTGGCAGAACTGAAAAGGAGGCAGGAATAGAATCTCTGAACAACCATGGGGAGTGCCCAGGGGACAGATGCTATGAGCTTCAAGCGCAGAGGCAGCGGGCAGAAGCCAAAGGGCAGAGGACACAGAGGAAACTGAGCTCCAGCTATCTTTAGGCACATCCTGGTGCTGGGAACGGGAGCCCCAAGGCAGCATTCCCGACCACAGGCGGGCCAGCCGGCCGGGCTGGCGGGGCCCAGGAGCCGGGGCCCCTCAACTTCCTGCTCTCCATGCCCGCTCATGTGGGTCCTGTCTGCCTCCTGTCTGCCTGCCCCAGTTCTCCAGGGCCCCTCCAGGGAAAGGGGACCAGCTGGGGTGGGTGGGCAGGTGGGTGATTCAAGAGAGTTTCTCAGGGTTCACAACCAAACCGAACCAAACTCACTGCCATCGAGTGGATGCCGACTCATCGCGACCCTGTGGGGCAGAACGGCCACACTGAGTTTCTGAGACGTAAGTGTTTGCGGGAGAAGAAAGCCCCCCCTCCCCTCCCCACCCGTCTTTCTCCCATGGAGCAGCAGTTGGGTCCCGGCCCGATGCATAGCCACTATGCCACCAGGCTCCCTCTCGGGGTCCACCAGGCCTGGAATCTCCATGCAGCACGGAGAAGATCCTTGCTACCTCACCTGCTATAGACCCAGGGCAATCCCTAGACTTCCGGGAAGGGAAGGCTAGTTTGGGGCTCTGTCATAGGATGTGCAAGAGCCTAGGCCAGGAACATCCCTCTGGGACTGACTCTGAGCCACCAGGCCTCCAGGACCACTTGAGGAACCTCGATCTATCTAGGCTCATCTAAGCAGGAGAGACCCAGACCAGAGCGGCGGGCGGCGTGGGGAGCTGGATGAGGGGCTGGGGCTGGAAGCGGAGAAGGGGGCTGTCATCAAGAGGACCCCGAGAGCCTGGAGCAGGACTGCCATCTTCCCTCCCCAAAGTCGGGTCCAAGTACTTTTTGAGTGCCAAAGCTCTCTGGGGAGGGGCAGGGCTGGTTTGCAGAGGGGTTAGCGGAGACCCCAGGCTAATGAGTCTTGACCCGAATGAGAAAAGCAACAGAAGGACTTGCCAAGGGAGAGGTCACACTCATCCCTGGCTCCCTCTCCTCACAGCTGTGCGGTCCAACTTGTCCCGAGGCGTGATCTCGAGAGAAGCGCTATCACCGCTGCCTCTTGGGATAGAGTCTAACATCTCTCTGGTTTAGCTTCCTGTCAGGACCCCGGTCCGTCCATCAATGAGACCTGCTCCTGACCCAGGCCCTGGCCTTGCCCGCTGTGGGGTTCACAGCTGGCGCTGCTCACTAGGTGTGACTCACCATCAGTCCTCCTGCACTCTCAGTAGAAAAGGCAGGCAGGCCGGGGTGGGGAGGGTGGAAGAGGGAGATTTTCTGAGAGGCCTCAGGAGAGGATTCCCGACCAAATGCCCTTTGTCTCTGGTCAAACCCGAAGGTTACTTGTTCTGAGTGAGAAGGAGCCCCAGAAATGGAGGAAAGGCAAGCTAACGGAGCAGAGGAGACCCCTGGCACCATGGTTGAACACTCCCTGGGGTAAAGACTGGAGGGGTAGTCAGGGGGACATGCCAAGGTGCCGGCCACAAGATGGCACCAGATGCTCCACCATCCTCCCTGCAGGTGGAGCTGTGTCCTGCGCCCATCCCTCCAGGGTATCTCTAGTCACAGGTGCAGGAGTAGCCTCATGCCTCTTGCCCTGCCTGTGCGGGCTCTATGGCCGGATTTGTCCCACTGTGGGGTTGGAGCCACAGCACTGTCCACTCTACTGGGTGAGGCCTTGTCCTGTCAGGAGGCTAGGGCAGCCGGAGAACTCCGGAGCCCCAGCCGTGCCAGACCCAGACCCCAAAGAGCCTCCTCCTGGGCCCTCCTGTCAAAGCAAATGGCTTACAGAAGGTCCTACTGGATGGGGTATACTTCTGGCCCCCTCCCTCTCTGCAGCCTGGTCCTGGTACTCACCAGCATCCCTTTGGCACCTTTTCCTACCATGGTGGCAGTAGGTTGGGGTCTCTGGAGTCCCAGGCAACACTTAGAGGCTCTGCTTCCAGCACCTTCAGACCACGGGGCTCAGGAGCTGTGGAGAGAGCAGGGGTGAGGTGAAGCCCCGGGAGAGGCAGTGGCATGTGGCCCTGGGACTCCCCAGCCCTTCCACCCTCTCCCTTCCCCCTGCCCCAGGCCCTTTGCACGTCCCACTCCTTTCTGGATGGCCGTCTGATCCAGCTCCTTCCCTGCTCTTCTCCCGACCCTTCCCCACACCCCCTGGTTTCCAAGTTTTCCTGTCCCAGTGGGCAGAGGTCTATTTTTGACTCTCCAGATGCCAAATTCTATAAAAGATACGAATGAACACAGAACTGGGATGGGGTCCAATTCCATCAGCGTCTATGTGAATGGCTTCAACCTTTCCCCTGGAGGGGAGTCAGCTCAGCTCAGCCTAATGTACTCCCCAGCCTCACGCCGCCAGGCAGCTAGCATGGTCCTCCCTACGCCACCTGGCACCGCTCAGCCTGGGTTCCAGGGTGTCTGGGTTTGTAGCTGTGTCACTACCTGGGACCATCAGCTCTGGTCCCACCAAACACCGCACGGCCAGTCATGCCTCCCTGCCTCTGTCTGTAACACCTTCTGTTCTTCCCGGCACGCTCTCCTCCGACAGAATGAACACACAGCTTCGTCCTCTCTGTTTTGCACAGGAGCCCTGGTAGAGCAGCCGGCAGAGCATTGGGTTGCTTATGGAGAGGTCAGTGGTTTGAACCCACCAGCCACTCTGCAGGAGAAAGATGAGGCAGCCTGCTTAAGGATGTATGGCCTCAGAACCCCCAGGGAGCAGTCCGACCCTGTCCTATGGGGCCGATGTGAGTTGGCATCCGTTTGATGGTGGCAGATTTTGTTTCGATTTGTACAGATTTCCACTAGTGTCCTCATCCTATCACGTTAGACGTACGTGTCTTTGAGCCCGTCAACTGCGACTCCCTGAGTGTCCCCAGGGCTTGGGGTGGGCTGCACGGATGCCCCCTGTGCCCGGGGCCAACACACACAGTGCTGGGTTTTCAGAAAGTATTGGTTGCGTGGAACTGAAGGGAAATGAGTGAGGCTGAGGCTGTGGGATGTGAGGTTCGAGCTTCCGAAAGGCAGCAGCGTGGAGCCGCAGAGCTGCAGGACCGGGCCGATGGCTACAGATTTCAGAGGACAACGGGGGATGGCAGAGGGGGGGCTTCTGACAGGCCCCGAAGAGGGCTCAGCTTGGAGCAGCCTCTGAGAACCCTTTGATTACTATTAGCATAATACTTTTTTATTAATCATTTTATTGAGTGACTCTTACAAATCTTACGACAATCGAACATTCATTTGCATTAAGCACACTGATACATAGGTTGCCATTCAACATTTCCCAAACATGTTCTTTCTACGTGAGCCCTTAGTATCAGCCCTCTTTTCCCCCCACTCTCCCCCCACACTCACAGAGAATTCTGTCGTGGGGAGCGGTGGTTGAACACCGGGTCCGATGGACAAGGGTGCACGATCCCAGGTGCGGGTTGGGCTCTATCTCTGAGACTTCCCCGTACTTTCCCTCCCATGGTTGCTCGGTGTCCCCTGCCCCACCCTGACCACCTCTGACCCACAGGCCCAGGAAATCATTGAAAGCCGGGACAAGCCATGAGTAAGAAGCTGTTTGCCTATGCAAAGTAGCCTGCCCTGTCTCCTCTGGCAGGGACCCTGCCAACAGGAACCCAGAGATGACCAGTGCCCTTTCATACCTGCCTAGGCTGCTCTCTCTGCCACACCAAGTGTCCTCTGAAAGACACCCCCCCCCCTTACCACTGCCCCCGCTTGAGGCTTTAGCTCTCCTGTGGCTGTTAGAAGGGGGAGCTTTCACACTCTGAGCCTCCCACACAGACGTTGCAAATGCTGGATTTGACTCCTTAAAGCTGCCTCTGCCCAGCCAGGGAACGGTGACAGGAAGGGCCCGGTGACCAACATTGGACTTAGGATCTGTCGTTACAAGCAAGCACCCTTCCCAACCTCTCCACCTCCAAAGCCTCTATTGAAAACTTGGGGTTTGTCATAGCAAACGGGTGCTACTTTGCAACACAAACCATTATGATGATGGCTACTGTAGTACTACGTTAGAGACGTTTCAGCGTCTCTGGAAGTATTTCCTTAATGTCTCTTAGGTACATCAGAGACTTTACATTACGACAAACACTTGACTGAGTGATGTTAAACGCAAACTGTACGGTCCTGACTCAGGTGCACATTCGACTTCCAGAGAGACTGATGAACAGAACTTATGGACAGACTTATGAACGGATGGTAATCTGGTGATTGCAGGAAGAAGAGCAGAAGCCCTGTTTGAGAGCCACCTCCGTGGTTAAGCGTGGGGCTGCTAACCACAAGGTTCGTAGTTCGAAACCACCAGCTGCTCTGTGGGGGAGAAACGGGGTTTTCTGCTCCTCGAAAGAGTTGGCAGTCTTGGAAACTCACAGGGGCAGTTCTACCCTGTCCTGGGGGTCGGCATGGATTCGCTGGCCATGAGTCTGTGTTTGGCCTGGTCAGAAAACGGAGTCTTCTGGCCTTGAACTCAAGCTACCTTGCGCTCTCACACAGGTCCCCATTGTAGCTCAGCACCCCAGGGTTGGAGTGGAGAGGAGAGAGAGAGGGGGGGCGGGCAGGCTCACAGAGGCTGAATGCCTTGCCAGGAAGAGCCTCAGCTAGGACTTGAACCAACACCCTCAGCCCCAGGGGGCCTTCTCCAGAAACTGCTTCCCGGATCACCTGTCTCTGATTCTCAGGGGATCATTTCCTCCCAGGGCTGTGAAAGCCTGGCTGGAGCCAGAGGGAGCACCGGAGCCTTGGCTTTTACACACTTGATTGTTAACCTCAAGGTCAGCAGTTTGAACCTAGCAGCCTTTCAGTGGTAGTTTGTATCTATAAAGATTTTAGCCTTGGGGGGAAGGGGGTTGGAGAACAGAAGCTGACCCCAAGGGCTCGATAGAAAGTATCTGTCTAGAAAAGAATGATGGCAACATATGTACAAATATGCGTGATACAACTGATGTCTGGATGATAATAAGCATTGTAAGAGCCCTCAATAAAGTGATCAAAAGAGGGCAAGATATGACAATAATAATGTATAAATTATCAGGGGCTCATGAGGGAGGGGGAGCAGGGAGGGAAGGGGAAAAAATGAGGACCTGATGCAGGGGCTTAAGTGGAGAGCAAATGTTTTGAGAATGATGAGGACAATGAATATACAAATGTGCTTTACTCAATTGATGTATGTATGGATTGTGATAAGAGTTGTATAAGCCCCTAATAAAACGATTAAAAAAATAAAATAAAATGATCAAAAGAAAAAAAAAAGATTTCAGCCATGAAAAAAAAAATCCTATGTTACCATTCTACGCTGTCCTACAGGGTCACTATGAGTTGGCAGCCCACTGCATGACAATGGGTTGCTTTTTTTTTTCCAGTCCTGGGTCAGGCCCTAAGGACCACTGATGATGCAGGTCTGTCCTCAGGGAGCTTGGAGGGCAAAGATTGCCCCATGGCTGCTTCTGGGAGAATGAATTGGTGCACATGCTTTTACTACTGTCCTTGCCATCGCTGTCCCACAGCACCATCAATGGCTAAGTGTCCTGCTGCTCACCCAAAAGCTGGCGGTTCGAACCCACCAGCCACCCTACAGAATCAGGACGCTGGCAGTCAGCTTTGGTAAAGAGTACACGTTATGACATCGTACCACTCTGTCCTGGGGTCACTACGGCTGGAACGGATGCGCTGGCAAAGGGTTTGGGCTTTTCTGCATTCAGAGAGTATGAAGGGGATGCTGTGATGTGTCAACCACTGTTCCAGCTGTGGGGGCTCCATCCTGCCCAGACACCAGATCTGCCTCTAACCCCTGTCTGAGGCCACCCCACCGGCCACAGGGGGCCTCTTTCACAGGCTGGGCAGAGTTCTGGCCATCACCAGGCATGCAACCTCAAGCAAGTTCTTTATCTCCTCGAAGCGTCATCTGTCTCGGTCTCAAAGACATTTCAATCATTCTTCCCTGGTAAATCCTTAAGCTCCCGGTCTCACTCTTGCCTCTCTGTATTTGTGTCTCTTCGCCAGCCAGTCTTCTCAAAACCCCCTACGCCTGACTCCCTCCCGGCCTTTTCCACTGCCAACAGGATGTGGCCTCAATGGCTTAGGCGACTTTGAAGGCTGGCCACAACTCCGTTCATGTATTCCACAAATATTTATTGCAGGCTGGTTAAGGGCCAGGTCTGCGCTAGGCACCAGGGATGAGGGGTCTTTGTCTTCCAGCAGGGAACAAAAGAAGGAAGCAGATGACACAATTTCAAATCAGGACAGACCGCGATAAAGGGGCTGAAGGACAAAGACCCTTTCCTGGGAGTCTGCAGCACAGGGCTTGGCCTTGTCAGTGGGCCAAGGAGGGCTTCCTGGAGGATGTGAGGTCCAAGGGTTCAGAAACCAGTTGCCAGCTGAGTCGATTCCTACCTGGGGTGATCCCATGGGTGTCAGAGGGAAACTGTGCTGAAGGGGGCTTCCCCTGGCTGCTTTTCTGGAAGCAGATCACCAGGGCTGTCTTTCAGGGCATCTCTGGGTGAACTTGAACTCCCAGCCTTTGGGCTAGCAGCCCAGCATGTTAACCCCGTGTGTTTATACCACCCAGGGACTGGGCTAAAAGGGCCTCCACTCAACCGGTTGCTGAGCTGGTTCTGACTCACAGCAACCCTGCAGGGCAGAGTAGAACTGCCCCTGGGTGTTTCCCAGGTGGCGGATCTTCACAGTGGAAAGCCTCCTCGGTCTCCCACAGAGTGGCTGGTGGTCTCCAACGATTGGCCTTGAGGTGAGCAGCCCGTCTCGTGACCCAGGACACCACTGGGGCGCCTTCATGAAAAGGTCAGGGCAGCTCAACGGGCGAAGTCAGAATGGGGAGCAAGGGAAGAGAAAAAAACTTTATAAGCAAATGGAATAAGAGTGTGGCTTGTGGGGGGTTGGTGTCTGACAGGCAGGGAGAAAGTGGCCAGAGAGGAAGCTGGACAGGTCAGCTAGGGCAGGTCTCTGGGGTTGGGATTTTGGTCTTTATCCTGGGTACTTTGGGAGCCAAGGAGTAAGTGCTCAGGTGTGCATTTGCTGCACATCGTCCTAGAAACTAGGATGGGGCTGAAGGATGAAAGCGGGGAGATCTGTCAGGAAGAGGTCAGGCCAGAGGTCAGGCCAGAGGTGACGGGGCTTGGGAGGTGACAGTGGAGGGGTGGGGGAGGTGCACACATTTGAGAGAATACAGACAGAAGGTAACTTTGGTCGGGTTTGGTAATGACTAGAGCTTGGTGGGGAGAGGGAGAGTCCCTGCTTGTGCCAGGGGAGGAAGCTGATGCTAGTGTAAGGGGGTGGTGGTGGCTATTGAGAGATTGTCACTGGACACTGGCTCATCTTCATTCTTTCTTCTCCAAACAGATGGACGGGCCAATCAATTGTAAAGGTCCATCTGGGTCAAGACCTGGAGTCTCCCCTGGGAGTGAAAGGTGGCATGCTCTCCCCCTCCCGACAAGGACCTCACAGATTAGTAGGCAGACAGAGGAGGAAGCACAATGTTATTCACTGTGGTGTCAAGCGTGGAGGTCTGCTGACAATGCCTGGGAATCCAAGCGGGCTACCTGTGGCCACGTGGGACTACTCAGCATTCCCAGAGAGTGCTTGTCTCAGTGGCTCTGTTTAGCCAGCTCCTGCTGCCTTCAGCATCTTTGTCCCCATCGCCACCTGTTAGAGATCCGACCCATCCTCTAAACCTGCCCCTCAGGCATTATCTTCATAGGGCCTCCTTCCTCCCTCCCAGTTGCAGACAGCCTTTCCACAATTCTGCCAGCTCGCGGCTACGCCTGCCGACCACACTCGCCACACGTAGCTTTGCGGCACCGCTGCCGGTGTGTGTGCAAGGCTCACTGCCCCCGTTGGGTGGAGGCGTCTTCCCGGGCAGAGGTATGATCTTTCCGTGTCCTCAGGGCTGGGCATGGAGCCGGTACCTCTGCGTAGGCCTGAGTAAGGGGGCGGTTGCTCTGCGGTCCCTGGAAGCATTGGGCATGCTCAACGTCGCCCATTGGTCCCTTCGCAGATCCGTCTACTCTCATCAGAAGATCAGTCCACCCTCTTCTCTCTATCCTTCACGCGCCCCTCACTTGGAGAGTCCTTCTCTCCTCTTCACTACTCCTTGCCCCCCTAGCCCTGATCTCCCTGCGGCTACACGGTCAGGCATGTTTCAGCAAAGAAAGCGACTCGGGCTTTGTGCGGGAGCTGTCAGAGCACCCCGGGGGCGGCTCCTTTAACGCGGAGCAGCGAAGGGGCGTGGCCTACGAGGAGCAGGCCCGAAAGGGGGCGCGGCTCCTTTAAGAAG